GCCTCGCGATTTACCTCGAGTTAGGATACTAGAGGTAGTTTTGTCCATAGGCCACTGGAAAGACCACTGTTAGTCACAGTGGTCTCACGCTCGAATGCTCCATTCTTATGCTTTGATCCGCTAGTTTCGACTACCTAGATCCATTCAATATCATCAAGACTATCGTAGTAGGTATATAGAGGTACTCTACATCGGCAAGCAAAGGCGCCCGTGCTTTCGCGCGTTGGCATCGATTGCTTGCGTCCACGTCTCTCCGCTTGCCACGTGTGGACCGAAAAAGATTTTGTTTTGACCAATCAGCGATGCGTAGGCATTTTGGGAAAGGTGGTCATGGCGTGCGTCGTCGTCGGCATCGCGACCGTGGACTTGGTGCATCTCGTGCCGGACTACCCCCAAGGTGCTCTTCTGTCTCTTGCTCCACGATGCTGATGGACCCGTGCGCTTGTAGAGGACAGCAAGGTACGACTCGCTACTCGACGCTAAGCGGAATATGCTCTCTAGACGCGCATCCGCGTGACGCGCAAAGTTCGGTATGCTCTCCTTCGTCCGGCGGCATGATGCAGCAACTCATGCTGGTCGTAGCGGCGGCAACGGCACCAACGTTCTGGTGACCGACCTCAGTATTCGCAGGACATGTCCACCATGGCAGCGTGTAGGTCGTGAGCGCGCAGCTGAATAGCTTTGCCTCCTACCACTGGATCGGGAGCCTCGTGGATCCGTCAACCAACGCAGATGCGCGCTTCATCGTCGACGACCTTGCCGCGCACGGCGTGTACGCATCGTCCTGCCAAGTCCACGGGTCGGGCGCGATGCCCACGTCGGTAGGCTTATCGTCGTCATTCCCATCCTTTTCCTCCTCATCTTTGTAGCACATTATGCTGAGCGACGCCAACGGATCGCGTACGATCTTCCATCACCGCGACTTGCCCGAAGTGAGCGATGATCATGTTGCGACCGCCCTCGCCACGCTCTCGGACGTGGCGTGGGTCCACTTCGAGTGCCGCGACGCGCTTAGTCAGCTACGCATGATCCGCGTCACCCGCGTGACGCAGCCTCGAGCAACGATATCGCTCGAGGTCGAGGGCCCGCGCCACGCCTGGGACGACGTCCAGCAGTACGCGCGCCAGTATGTCTTCTTTTACGCATACAGGCTAGGCTCCTGCCGCATGTTGCCTATGCCTTCATCGCTCAAGGCTACGTCACGTCGCTGGGCCATGCCACCGCGCTTGATTTCTTCACTGAGCTGACGGCCATGTCTGCAATCGCCACGAGGTACTTGGCACACTTCTACTGGTGAAGACGATGTTGCTGTAGCGATCTGCGGGCGGTCGTCGTGCCATGGGGAGCCGACGGAGCGTTCGTCTGGTGCACGGCGACCAACGTCATGGACCACGTGCCGGTGGACCCGATTGCCGAGCTGCTCGACACGGTTGGTGCTGGCGACACGCTCGTGGGAGCGACCATCTCGGCGCTTGGCGCTGGCCTCGCAACGCGCGACGCGGTGGCTGTCTCGTGGCGCGAGCCAAATGCCTCCAGATTGGACTAGACTTTGAGCCGACGGCGCTCGACACGTTCAAAGACGATGTGGGAGCCCTGCACCGTCGTATGTACGACTAGTCGATTGATACGGTTATACACAAGGAGCCTTTTCATCGCTTTCTATGTGGTCGGCATGCAGCATCTCAACGAGAACATCGATGAACTCGTCGCTTCGACTGTTGCTCGGCTGCATGAGCCCAACAGGCCACACGTGCAGGTTGAGCGCGTGCACCTTGTGGATCCCGCGCATGTCGACCTGGAGGTGCATGCGTCGCCACGGCAGCGAGAGGAGGTTGCTGAGCATGCCAGCTGAAATCGCAACTTCGTGCCTACACCACGAGCAATAGCCTCCAAAGGAGCCGCAAGCGGCGGTACCCTGCGTCGCACGGCTGGCCATCCGACGTCATCTCGAGCTCGGGACGCGCCGTGGGCAGGACAGGGTACTTTGCGCTGAGCTTGGCACCGAACGCGGACGTGTCGGCGAACCCGTCGTGCAGCATCGTCCACTGCCAGACGCTCGACGAGTCTTTATGCGGCGGCATCTCGGGCAGAGGGTTGGGGTTCATGGAGGCGGAGGCGTAGGGTACGAGCTGGTCGCCTTCGATGACGGCGATCGCAGTTCGGTGTTTGAATCTTGCGAGCGCTTGCATGTGCATCGACTCTACCGCTGAAGGATGAGACTGCATCGTTGGCGTCAAGCACGTACGAGGCGCGCTCATGCTCTCCAAGAACGGCGCTACGGGGTTGTCTACGGGCACCATTCGGGAAGGAGCGATCAAGGCGACAAAACCCACCTTCGAAGAGCAGCTCGTGGCCCGTCTTGCCGTAAATGAGCGACATGGACAAGACTTGGTGGACCGCAAACTTCCACATGTTCTATACGCATTTGGCTCCATATCAAAGACACTAATGTATCGGTACCTTGGTGGGCGATCCGCCGGGACAGCGCGAGCCCAAGTGCGGCGAGCACACCGAGACGTACGACGTACACTGAATCTGTTGCTTGGCAAATACGTCTTGGAGGTACACGAGGCTCTGGCGCGTAATGAGCCCGCCAAGCGAGTGGCCCACAAAGCTAATGCGGTGGCCATGCGGCGACGACTGGTACGTCAAGAGCAGGTCCGAGATCTCGGCCGCCAAGTTGGATCCGCACTTCTCAAGGCCACGCTGTGTCTTGCCTTTATTCGATCGACTCTGCAGTAGGAGCATCTCGTTGTCGGCAAACGTCGACCGGAGCTTCTTGGCGATGGCCGCGAGGTCGGTCGGCGACCCGTACACGCCGTGCACGAGGACAAAGATGTGGCGGGGCAGCACGGGCTTGGCAGCGAGGCTCTCGGACGACAATGGGATGGTCGCCTGCAGCGATTGCAGCCGGCGCTGCGTCTCAATGACGCGCGCCTTGAGGAGATTGGCGCGACCGCGCCAGAGAGCGTGCATGGTGCTGTGCAGGAGCGAGCTGTTGGCCTCGGCTTGGCTCTACGACGACCATGATACTAGCGCCATGCGGCCATGCGCGCGTACGTGGTGGATGGTCAAGAGCGCGAGGTGGTCCTGAAGCGCGGCGAGCTCCATGCGGCGACTCCGGCGATCTTTTCACTATGAAAACAGCGAGGTTAAACCCACCCAACTTTGCGTTGCGACAAGACGGCGACGCCTACAATGAATCGACGAGGCGCCACGGTTCGAGTGGCAAGCGCCGTACTGGGTGTGTGCACTCGTAGCTTGCTAATAATTCGTGCGGCTTGTGCGAAAATACTTCTATGCAGCAAGCGGCCAAGGTCCTGGCACAATATGGCCTCGGGTCGAGTGGCGTGGGTTTAGCCACGGAATCTGAGGGTTTCGCCCGACTTCTTCACCAATTATATCATCCGGCTCTAGAAACACGCTCCTCAACGGCCAGAACGCGCAGGCATCGACTGCTCAGACGCGGTATGCAGAGCAAGGGCCGCACCAAGATCAAAGCTGTGGTAAGTGCTGCAATGGAAGAGGAAAATGCGTTGGCGATCGACAATCGCATCGACGGGATGACCGGATGCATTTCGGTTAAGTGGCGTGATTTTAAACTATGAAAGGAGCAGTGGCAGCAAGAATCCATTTTGCCTCATCCGTTCCAGTCCAGCATGAGCGACGATGACGACGTCGTGGTCGTCGGCGCCCGTCCTGCACCACCGTCGGACGACGACATCATTGTCACAGACGCCGCTGGCAACCCGATCGTGATCATGCGGCCGATCGTACCCTCGAGTGGTCGGCGGCATCGTGGGCGACGCCGGCCGCCGCCACCGCCCGTGGCCGACGCCGACGTGATTGAGCTCCTCTCCGACGATGAAGATGCCAGCCCGCGCGTCGTACTCGATCCACAAGCACAGGCGCGCGCCAACGCGTTGGAGGAGAACCGGAAGCGCGAGCGCATCGTCGAGGCAGCCAAGGCCAAGATGCGATGTCCCTTATGTCTCGACCCGTACCAGGAAATGGCATCGACGACGTGCGGCCACGTCTTCTGCAAAGAATGCATTACGTTGGTCGTCGCCAAGATCCACAAGTGTCCGCTCTGCCAACGCAAGCTCGCGACGCGAGACATCCACGCCATCTTTCTCTAAAGGTTGTACCAGTAATAGCATGCACACCGCATTCCACATGTCGTCATTCGTCCGCGACGCTTGCACACGCCTCTCCACCGCTATCGGCTCCATCGTTTTTACCATCGCCACGACCGCTACGTTGCGAGAACTTTATCATCGCCATCATCAACGCGTCCAACTTCAACCTTGTGGAGCGACAATCCGGGCAAGCATATCCAACGCGCGTCGCCGGTTCCGTGGGGCTCGTCAATCGAGATCGCAGCTCCGACGGCAATGCGCGACCCTTCTGCGTCGCTCCGCCTTGCGAGGTCGCTCGAGGGTTTCTATGTCGCCGCGCCTTGCCCGATATGGCCCGTGCGCCAATACCGCACACTCTACTGAGGCACGTGCGCGAGCCAGGAAGCGCCATGGTCAAGGCCATGGCATGCTAGCACCATGGCGAAGGGCTCGGCCGGCGCGAGGTCGTCGGCGCGGCGCCTTGGTCCGCTTGGTCGTGGCGCCTTGGTCCGCTTGGTCGTGGCGCCTCTGCAGCCTGGCTAGGCAGACGCCGCGAGATCTTCGATAAAAATACAAAGCGCGCTGTCAATAAAATACGCGCCATGTGGCAGTCCGACTCTATGGGCGGGTCGGCATTTAATTGCGATGCGGTTAAATAAATTCGGGCTCGTGTTCGAATTCTGGCAACCGCCGCCCACGACAAACGCAAGCTTTCCGCAGTGAGCCATTTCATGGACCATCGACACCAAGGGCTCCTCTTGCGCTGGCAGCAGAACCGTCTCCAGATCCGGTACCATAGCCTTCAGATGCGTCGCTACATGCTTCAGCGCCAGGACCAGCGCGACCCGAACGAGATGCGGCTCATGCTCGACGACTACCTGCGCGACCACGGGCGCATGCAGCGCCTTGCCCGCCTCGAGCTGCGCGAGATGCGCGCCAATCAGTTCCACCCGATGGTGGCTCGCCGCCAGTACCCGTTCGTGCGCGACGTGCTCGATGACACGGACATGAACACGGATGACGAGATTGTCGTCGCACCGCCTGTGCCCCGGCGCCGGGCCGTCTCGCTCGATGTCAACATGCACAAGCAAATCAACGTGCCGCGCATCACGTTGGACGCGATCCAGATCAAGGGGCTCCGCCACGAGAGCTACGAAGCGCCACCAACCGCGTACCAGCCCCATGGCAATGAAGAGCCGCTCGTGTTGCAGCGCCGTTTCGTCCAGGATCGCATTGCCGTGCTGTCGCGCATGAAGTCGCGACTGACGTCCATTCCAGGTGACGATCGCTGGGCGACGCAGCTTGTGCTCAATCGGCACAGCATTGACCAGCCCGTTCCGATGCAAGGCGGGCTCACGGCCCTCCATGGCCTTGAAGAGCTCGTCTTGGCCTTCCTCGATGGCCCAAGTCTGCTCAAGTGCACGCTCACTTGCGTGCGTTGGAGCCGCCTTTGCCGCCAGGACACGCTCTGGGAGAAGCTCCTCGTGTCGCCAAACGAAGGCTACCCGCTGCGCACGCTCATGTCGTGCCCTCGCCCGACACCTGCGATCCAAGTGTACATGCTCTTCTACACGAGCGGCCTCGCAATGGGGCCAGCATTTGTACAGCAAGAGTTTGTGCCTGATGAAACGAGCGAGGCGGCGCCGACCTCGTCGCGCCACCGCGACCTCTCGCAGCTCGTCGAGACGACTCCGATTGGCAGCGTCCATGTCTCGCGCCTCTTGTCGACCAAGAAAAACTGGTCGAACGCGCTTCTCTTTCCGACCGAGACGGCGCATTTGCACGCCCTATCGTGCACGACGCTCAAGGCGTGGCTCGGGAAGCACTCGCCGCTGCCGCCCGAGACGCTCCGGTCGTTTTGCTTTCAGCTGCTCCACGGCTGCATGGCTCTGGACGCTGCTGGTATAGCGCACACGGACCTCTCGCTCAAGCACGTGCTCGCATTTCCAACCAACACGGCGCCGCCCGGCGTGCCCCTTCTGCGCATCGACGGCCACGGCGCGTGGGAGCGCAAGAGCGGCCAGTATGACCACGAAAGCGCGGTCTGGAGCTTGATCTTTACGACGCAGAACCGCGAAGAGAGTCGGTGGAAAAACCTACTGTGTAGCTACCTCTACTTGATTCTGGACGTGTGCCTTGAAGGGCGGCTCGCGAACCTGCGCCAGCAGTCGCTGCTCCACTGCCTCGCGATGGACCGGCACAGCATGCCGCGCGACTTTCGTAGCCTCGCCGAGCACGGCGCGTACCTCTTGTACCACAATATGCCCATGGACAATCTGCTCCTTCATCCGTACTTGACGCAGACGCCGTGGGACGCGGTCGACTGGCTCCGCGAGCTGCACCCGCCGCGCGACCAGACAACGTACCTTGAGAACATCCTCGCGCTCTACGCTACGCCACTGCCACCATCGACGTCGACGTCGGCGCGCCCGATCCCCGTGCCCGTCTCGGACATTGGCCCGCGCTGCCTCCATACGGCGGTCGGGGAGGCCGGGCTGCTAGCGAATCGGTTTACGTGCATCCGTGCGCCGGCCGACGCGACCTCGTACTGGATGCAAGCGCTGGCGTCGAGCCAGGTACCTGTTTTGTTCATTTTTGTGTGATTACAGCACGGCGTAGAGCGCGACGCTGGTGCGCCTCGACTTGTCGGCGCTCGAGCTCTCGAGCTCGACGATTCTCCAAGGGCTGAGCTTGCTCCCGCACATTACAGACCTCAAGCTGCCCAAAGCGATGCTTCGGGAAAGCAACATTGAGCGCTTTGTGGTTGCCTTTGCCAACAGCCTCCTCCCAGCACTCTCGACGGTCGAAGACGCCTTCTTGGTCGCCGTGCGCCGTATGGAAGAGTCGTACGTCAAGCAGCTCGAGATGGTCGACTTTCTCTTGCAGCCAACGCGCGCCGTGTAGAGCTAATTTTTAAGTGTATTTTCCTCTTGTTTTCACAAGTCAGACTGTCGTTTACTCCATTTGAGTCGACTTTTTGCGTGGCGACGGAGCACCACGGCGCGTAAAGAGGTCGAGCATCGGGATTTCTTCCAGCTCCCGTCGCGAGCAGAGGTATTCGCCTAGCAGGCCAGGCTTGACGGACGAGACGCATATTGGTGACGTACCGAGGATGACAGTGATGGCGAGCGCGACACCATGGACGATCCACCAGCTCCATGTCGACGGAAACCCCTATGAGGCGCATGCGTTCGACAAGATAAGGCGGGCGCGTCCCACCTTGTAGACACAGCACACGAGGAGGTCGAGCACGTGCAGCGTGACGCCAAAGTCCAAGCACTTCTTCGCCCGCTCGACAAAGTAGCAGAGCAAGACGGCGTTCACGAGGCCGCTCGTAATGTGCGCGAACGACGTCTTGACGCCATCGATGCTCTCGAGCGCGTGGAGGTCGTACGAGAAGAACTGGTCGAGCGAGAGGTGGGCCCCATGGCAGAGCCCGAGAAGGACGCCGAGGCCAATGTAATGGGCGCACTAGGGCAAGCGTCTCATGGGCGTCCGTCGGCCACGCTCCTCGTACCTGCATGCACACGATCTGCAGCCCGATGAGCTTCGGGTCCCATTGTCCTCGGCCATAGAAGCGGGGCATCGCGTCAACGCGAAAACAAAAATGCGATATCCGGATGACGTCCGGAAACCGTCGTGCCCAAATTTAACGAATGACGTGGCACGCGGATGTCACGCATATAGCATAGATGAGCTCGAAACGACAACTCTATTGACAATTAACGAATAACAAAGTTGTCTACGACAACGACGACAATAATGTGCTGCAATGCAAGACCCGCAACAGTGGGACACGGGCAAGAGAATAGACTAATAGACTAGCATGCTTTAAATAGGAGGTCGCGCTTACTCGACAGTGTCGTGTAAGAGGACGTCCTCAAGCAATGCATCCATCGTCGACAGCCGGCGCTCCTCGACAACCTCGGCCGCCTCGGCGTCCATGATCTCATCAAGGACTTCGTCGGCCATAACGTCGTCTTGACGCTCGTGCACGAGCGCATCGGCCGCTGCCTCCAACGCAGCATCGTCATCGCCATCATTGTCCATGACAGCACCCGGTAGCGTCGCATTTAGGGTTGGTACGTCGTCGGAAGTGTCGTCTTTGGACGCCTTGGCGTCGTCGGCTTCCGTCGGCAGTGCAAAGCGACACGTCGGGCACACGTTGTGTTCTTGAAGCCACGGGAGGCCGCACGGCGTGTGAAAGGTATGGCGACATGGCAGCTGCACGACGCAGTCGGCGGCCTTGAAGTCTGAGAGGCAAATGGGGCAGTCGGTGTTTGTCGCGGTACCCGACGCTTCGACCGCCGACCACCACTGCTCCTTGAGGTCGCTCAAGAAGCGCTTGCTTGTTTTGGGTGGGCCTGGCTGCGGCGTCTGCATCGTCGCATTGATAAAGAGATCGTCGAGGAGACTCGAGAGCCCGAGCTCCGAGCCGCCGAGGACCGACGAGAGCGCGTGCTGGAGCATCGAGTTGAGCAGCTCTTCATGGCTCGATGGCTCGCGAAAGTGCACAAAGACAAGCGCGGGACTGGACAACGAGAGACGCGCTGCCGGCATCGGGCGGGGCAGGTGGAAGGCTCCGTTGGCATTCATGTCCATTACGAGGGCGGAAAACGGCGAGTTGGGAAATGACGTCGGCGGGTGTTGATGGCTCGACGCACGCCAGCTGCTCGCGCTGCAACGTCCGTTCGACGGGTGCACTTTCTTGCGATTGGCGCGTTTTTTTTCGGGTCCGGAAGGTTCGAGCATCTTCTTATCCGAAGGTCCAACCTTACTGGTTCGCACCACCTTTGGGTCGTTGAGCTCGATTCGACTTCACCACTGTGGTTGGCACAACGAAACTTTAGCCGTGTGGGCGAGAGCCCGTCGGGGGCCGTGTGCTGGTGCTCCGCTGCGGCGGCGGAAGGTTTACTGCGTGGCGGCTGCGTGATGGCTGATGACGCAGGCTACTGGCCTGCGTGACGACCAGGGTGTTGGCTCGACACGCCAGTGTGGCAGAGAACAGGGTGGCAGTTGCGAGCAAGTCAGCTCGTCAAAAAAGGAGTGTAGGTGCCGAACCTGGGTCATATACGTCGCTGCACGCGACGCAGACTGGCGCTCCATTCGAGAACCTTCGACCGCAGGTAGTCCTTACTTGATGTATGGCTGGTAAGACTCATGGGTAAGACTAATAACCGAGACGAAAGCAACATGCAACAACCTGCGTTCGGTGTTTAAAGAGCTACTTCGTAAACTGCTCACGCTTCGTCTTCGTCGGTGCGGTGGACGGTCATCTTGTCCATGTACCCGCCTTCGTGGACGAGCTCGAAAAAGATGCCATCGCCCGCGGCTACTAGCGCCTGCGGCGTCCCGCTCTGTGCCAACGCGCCTTGGTCAAACACCAGAATCCGGTCGCAGTCCAAGACCGTGTCCAAGCGGTGCGCGATCGTGAGCACCGTCGACGTTGCAAACTCGGTGCGGATCACGCGCTGCAGCACCTTGTCCGTCGCGTGGTCGATGGCCGCCGTCGCTTCGTCCAGCACGACGACCTTGGCTTGCCGAAGGAGCGCGCGGGCCATGCACAGCATTTGGCGCTCGCCGACGCTAAAGTTCTCGCCGTTCTCGTCCACGGGCCCGAGGAGCTTCTCGTCGTGCTGCGAGACGCGGTCGACCATCTGCACCTTCCGGAGGACATTCCAGAGCGCTGCGTCGTCGTACTCGTCGAACGGATCCAAGTAGTTGCGCAGCGTGCCCTTGAAGAGGACGGGGTTTTGCGGAATGATCGCGAGGTGGCTGCGCAGCGTGCGGAGACCCACAGAGGCAATGTCGACGCCGTCAATCGAGATGGACCCGGATGCGACGTCGTTCATGCGGAAGAGCGCCATCATGAGGCTGCTCTTGCCCGCGCCGGTGCGGCCCACGATGCCAATCTTCTCACCCCCCGCAACCGTGAACGAGACGTTCTGGAGCACGAGCGGGTCGTTGGGCTTGTAGCGGAAGCTGACGTTGTCAAAGGCGACGGCGCCGGTCGTGGGCCAGTGCGGTGCGAGCTGCGCATGCGTTGTGCGGTCGCCTTCTTTCGGGATGTTGATGTACTCGTGGATGCGCTCGGGCGAGATCATGGACGTCTCGAGCTGCGACCAAATGTTGACGAGGTACGCGAGGTTGCCGGGAATCGAGAGGCCGTACGTGATCAAGAGGCCGACGATACCGGGGCTCAGCGACTCGTGGAGGAAGACGATCGAGAGCAGAATGAGCGCCACGATCGTATTGGAGATGAGCTGGATGCGAATTGAGAACCACTGGTTGATGCAGCTGTACGCAAACCGGCACTCGCAGAAGGTCTCAATCTTGCGGTGGTGGAGGCGGTAGAACCGGCGCAGCTGCTTGTCGCCAAACGCGCGGATCGTCGTCGAGCCGTCAATGCCCTCGGAGACCAAGCTAATGAGCGGCGACCGGGTCGTCTTCCAAATCCGGTTGACCTCGCGGAGCGGCTCCAGGAAGAATGCGCCGTACTTGTAGTAGACAACGAGCAGCGGGAGCACGAGGAGACCCAGCCACTTCGTGATGATGAGCGTCGTCCCGAGCGTGAACATCGCCGACGAGACTTCAAACAAGATCGGCCCGAGCGAGAACGGAATGCCCATGTCACAGGACCCGACGTCGTCGCCAAAGCGGTTGAGAATCCGCCCGATCGGGTTGGTGTCGAAGAAGCGCATCGGTGCCTCAAGGAGACTCGAAAGCATTGCGTCAAAGAGCTTTTGAGAGCCGCGAAGGCCGTAGACAAAGACGGACGCGGTCTGGAGCGTGATCATGGCGCAGCTGCCGAGCGCGAGGCCTGCGTAAATACCCATCCCGAGCTCCGAGCTGGCGGCAAAGGTCGCTGCGTCTTCGCCTTCGCTCTCGTTAGCCCAGCGCGTGAGCCAGAGGTCGCTGCCGACTTTCAGCACTTGCATCGCGATCGTTGTGAACGCAATCACCACAAACGTACAGCAGCCGCCCATGGCGCCAAGGTAGGCGACCACGACCTCCTTGGAGACACGCCCTTCAGCCCGCTCTTCGTCGGCAATGAGACGACCCGACTCTTCAAACGACTCGCCCGCCACCGGCTCGCGCGGCGTGTACAGCATCTCGCGCGCGTTGTAGCTGTACGGCGTGCGCAGCGACGGCGTCACCAGCATCTCGTGACGTGGCCCCGGTGCCGGGTACTCGATGATCTCCGACTCTTCCCAGTACGGCGTCCGGGCCTTGAGCGGCGTCACCGCCGACGTTGCTTCTTGACGCGTGCGCGGCGAGTCGTGCGTTGACTCGATGAGCTGGCCGTCTTGCACGAGCAGCGTCCGGGCGACCGCCGCCGACTCGATGATCTCGGGGTTGTGCGTCACGAGCAGCACTGTCTTCTTGGCCAAGAGGCCGAGGAAACACTTGGTGAAGATCTCGCTGGCCACGATCGCGTCGACGGCCGACAAGGGCGAGTCCAAAATGAAGATGTCGGCGTCGCTGTAGCACGCTCGGGCCAAAGCGATGCGCGCTTTCTGGCCGCCGCTGAGGTTGATGCCCTTCTGGCCAATCTCGGTGCGGTCGCCGGCCGGCAGCGACGCGAGATCGCTCTGCAGCGCACACGCGTCGAGGACCTTTTGGTACGTGCTGCGGTCGTACGGCTTGCCAAAGAG